TATTTATTTAAAAATAAATCAATCGATAGGTCATACATACACCCCGTATATAGCGGGAACAGCAGCAGCAACAACACTAGCAGCAGCAGCAGCAGCAGCAGCAGCAGCAGCACTGCTGCTGCTGCATTTCTCTTTGGTATCTTAATTGAGGCCCCCAAGCAGCTAGAGGCATCCATAAGCAGCAGCTTGTATATAGAGGCTGCAGCAGCTCAGCTGGCGGTGCTCGTGCTGCGTTGTGCTTTATAAGGGGGCCCCCCTCACCCTGTGCTGCAGCAGCAGCAGCAGCAGCTGCTGCTGCTTCTGCTGCTGCTGCATCTGCGGCGGGGCCCCTTGCCTTAAGGGGCCCCCTGAGGGGCCCCCTGGGGGCCCCCCTCAGGGGCCCCCAGGGGGGCCCCCTCACTCTTCTCTGTGCTGTACCCAAGAAGAGAACCTCGCACTCTAAGACCCGCAGCAGAAGAGCCACATGGAATAGAAGAAACCCCAAAAACCACTATAAAGTAAAAAGGGTTTAGGGTTTAGGGTTTAGGGTTTTTAGGGTTTAGGGTTTGTGGTGTGAGGGTTTAAGGTTGATTGTAGATTATAATGGATAGTGTATTTGTTTGTATTGTTTCCATTGTCTAGGGTTTAGGGTTTAGGGTTTAGGGTTTAGGGTTTGTGTGTTGTGTTTTAGTTTTCTTCTATCGACGTGTTTGGCTCTGTGCTGCGCTGCGGTGTATGGGCAGCTGCTGCTCCCTGGTTGGGGTTGGGGGGGTTTGGGGTGTATCCGCAGCTGCTGCGACAGGCGAGTGCAGCAGCAGCAGCAGCAGACGTGCAGCAGCAGCAGCAGCAGCAGCAGCAGCAAGCTTCTCCTGCTGCAGCAGCAGCAGCAGCAGCAGCAGAACAGCAGCAAGGGGCTGAAGGCCGCTTCCTTATATATAAACGAGACCCCACAAAAGAAGAAAACAAATAAACTATGAAGCAACAGCAGCAGCAGCAGCAGCAGCAGCAACAACAGCAGCGACACCAGCAACAACAACAGCAGCAACAACAACAACAGCAGCAGCAGCAGCAAGGCTCCCTTCGTCTTTCAACCAGTACATCGCAGACAGACACCCAGGGGGGCCCCCCTGGGGGGCCCCCGAGAGGGCCCCCGGGGGGCCCCCCTGGGGGCCCCCCCGGGGGCCCCTCTGGGGGCCCCCGTAGAGGCCCATGTGGGGCCCCCCCTGGGGGGAGCTCAACTGGTGGGGGCCCCCCTGCCGGGGGCCCCCCGGGTAGTAGGGGACCCTCTNTAGGGGACCCTCTGCTGGGCCCCCCCCACCCCAGGGGGGGGGGCCCCCAGCCGGGGGGCCCCCCCCTGGGGGGCCCCCAGTGAGTGAGCTGTCTGGTAGCGAGCGTTTGGGTTTGTTGTGTGGGGTGTCTACGTTGGTGTTGTCTTGTGTGCCTCCCGCTTTCAGCGTGTCTCCCTGCTCTGTTTTTTCTGTTTCTGGTTTGTGTTTTTTTTCTTCTTTTTTTTGTTTTTCTTCTTTTTCATCTGTTGAGCTAATTAAAGAATTGTTTTCTGCTTTTGGGCCCCTAGAGGGTACCGGGGTATCCTTTCCTGCTGCTCGCAGAGTGAAGGGGGGGGCCCCCAGGAGATAAAAGGGTACTTGTACGCATGCAGAGACTCGTTGATGCTGCTGCAGCGCAGCAGCTGCTGGATGGGAGAAGTATAGAAGATGCTTTGTTTATAGTTCGGGTGTATAGGCAGCTTGCTGCTGCTGCTGCGAAGAAAAATAATAGAGGGGGGAGACCATCTGCTGCTGCTGTTGTTGCTGCTGCTGCTGCTGAAGCAGCAAATGCAGCAACTGCAGCAGCTGCTGCAGGCAATCATGCTGCTGCTGCTGCTGCTGCNCTGCTGAAGCAGCAAATGCAGCAACTGCAGCAGCTGCTGCAGGCAATCATGCTGCTGCTGCTGCTGCTGCTGCACTAGCCGCACGAATTCACGATAGCAAGCCAAACAGTCGTGCAGCAGCAGCAGCAGCAGCAGCTGCTGCTGCTGCTGCTGCTGCTGCTCCCGCTGCTGCTGCTGCTGCTGCAGCAGATGGCTCGCAGCAGTTCAAGCTGTCTGTACACCACAGCAGAGAAGACCGCATAAAGGTGGCGGCTCTGAAGGGCAATGAAAGGGCTCTGCGTTTGCTGCGACAGCAGCAGCAGCAGCAGCAGCAGCAACAGCAGCAGCAGCAACAGCAGCATTTGGAGGACGTCGAGCTGGCTTCCAGTGTAAACCCTCTGCTAGACGGAGAAGAAAAAAACCAGCAGCAGCAGCAGCAGCAGCAACAGCAGCAGCAGCAGCAATCTGCACCGTCTTCCGATGCTGAAGCACCAGCAGCAGCAGCAGCAGCAGCAGCAGCAGCAGCAGCAGCAAGTGGGGACACCGGGCGAGTGAGTCTGCAGCAGCAGCGGCAGTTTGCTGCAGCAGCAAAGTCTAGCAGCCACACGAAAGAGCAGCAGCAGCAATTCACCTCAACAAAGAGACAGCTCAGCATCAGCAGCAGCAGCAGCAGCAGCAGCAGGGGCAGCAGCAGCAGCAGCAGCAGCAGCAACAGCAGCAGGAACAGCAGCAGCAGCAGCTTGAAAAGCGAACTGAATGGGCCTGGTGCTGTTGCACACTCGAAGCGTCAGAGACACAGCAGCAGCAGCAGCAGCAGCAGCAGCAGCAGCAGCACCAGCAGCATAAAGGCTGCTCGGGCTAGGAAGCAGCAGCAGCAGCAGCAGCAGCAGCAGCAAAGCCAAGCCTTGCTGGACCTCTTGAGCGGGGCCCCTCTTGCTGCTGCAGGCAGCAGCACCGCAGCAGATGAAGCGGAAAAGCAGCAGCAGCAAGAGTGAGAGATATTGCTGCTGCTGCTGTTGCTGCTGCTGCTGCTGCTCCTATTGTTGCTGCTGTTGCTGCTGCTGCTTCTGCTGCTGCTGCAGTTGGTGTGTGTTATGTAGTATGCATGTATTTTGCTGCTGCTGTCTCTGTATCCGTTGTTTTCTCTCCCTTTATTTGCTGCTCTCGCTGCTGCTGCTGCTGCTGCTGCTGCTGCTGCTGCTGCTGCTGCTGCTGCTGGTGCTGCTGCTGCTGCTGCTGCTGTGTGTGTTGCTGCAGGCGAGTATCAGCTCTGGTTGCTGCAGCAGCAGCAGCAACAGTTGGGGGGTTTATACAGCAGCAGCAAAACGCATTCGGGAACTTCCTAGTGCCGGCGCTGCCTTCGCCGGGGGGGGGAGCTACATATAAATAAATAAAATAAAATAAATAAATAAATAAATAAATAAAATAAATAAAATATATAAATTAAATATATACTTGTTGTTGTATGCATGCACTTTCTCAATTAATTAATTAAATTAATTAATTAATTAATTAGTGCATTTAATTTAACTGTATACACTCAGCGGCAAGAGAGATGCATGCATGCATGCATGCATGCATGCATGCATGAAAACGCATGCATGCATGCATGCACGCGTTTATATACATGCACGCATGCATGCATGCATGCATGCATGCATGCATGCATGCATGCATGTTGCTTTGTTTTAAACAACTCCCGAATGAACCCACAATCGTTTTCTCTCTGGGATCGTCTCCCCACAGCTGGGATCGTCTCCCCACACACACATACACCCCACACACATACACCTGGGATCGTCTCCCCACACACACATACACCCCACACACATACACCGGGGATCGTCTCCCCACACACACATACACCCCACACACATACACCGGGGATCGTCTCCCCACACACACATATAAACAGCTGGGATCGTCTCCCCACACACTCCTGGGATCGTCTCCCCACACACATATATACAAACAGCTGGGATCGTCTCCCCGCCTGTGTATACTTATGCTGTCTCTCTATCTTCTTTCTTAAGACTCTGTAGTGCCTGGGATCGTCTCCCCACAGCTGGGATCGTCTCCCCACACACACACAAACAGCTGGGATCGTCTCCCCACACACACACATATATACTAGCAGCTGGGATCGTCTCCCCGGCGGTGTTTATTTATATTTATGCTGTCTAGGATCGTCTCTTTAACACTCTGTAGTGCCTGGGATCGTCTCCCTGGGATCGTCTTTTTAGTAATATATATATATATATATATATATATATATATATATATA